ATGAATTTATTCGCCTAAACCTAAAAGTGGCTTTTTAATACTAACTGCGTACATCTCTCTAAGTGCCACCATCTTTGTGTGCGTCAGCATTTGAATTATGGGTTAAATATGGGTTTCCACATTTCCAAATTGAAAGTGCATCTTTTACTCTCTTCCCAGCTGGATGCAGCATAGCATTACTGCCATTTAAAGAGTGAACTCACAATCTCTTATGATGATATAGAATCAGTGTAGCAGATGACACTCGCTTTGGAAATGTTGACCAGCTAGTGTGGATCTAGATTTAGGATTGAAATATTAATTATAATGATAATAGTGCATTCATGGTTTCACATAAGTACCGTCTGGGTTTATTTTAGCTACATGTCATTTTAAAGGAGGCTCTGTTCGCTCAATTTGTGCCTTTCCACTAGGAAACTCCCTGCATGCGCTTTTTTCTTCTTGCAGTATTTACTTAAGTGGGCTATAATTTGCGTTCTGTGAATGGGTTCAGGCGAGTGGTATGATCATATGATGAGCCGAGTCAGTCAAACATGAGTTTCTCTTTCTCTTTGATCAATTTGAGCACTCGTCGGTGCACAGATCTTAGTGCTGGGTGGTATGACCACAAATTTATATCACGGTATTTTTCAGGGGGCGGTGGATATTTGTGGCGGTCAATGTGGATATTGTGGATGAGTTCTTCTGTGTCATCACGTTCTATTAGTTCTACAGCTTCAGTTTCGGAACTTTCACGCTTAGTAACACATACAGCTGTTCCCTCACCACAGTGCAACAGTGAAAAGGGACCCCTTTCAAACAGTGTCGCGTTCCGAACATTGTTTAAGCGACATACACTGGTATTGCGGTATTTTAAAAATTCATATCATAACAAAAATAAAAACCGGCATTCGGTATGAACCGGTATACCGCCCAGCACTAACAGATCTACTCCTGCAATCCTGTCAGGCGGCCCTTATTAGTCCTGCTCACTAAAACACGCCTCACTATTCTGTGGCTTCTACTTAATGCTCAGAATTAAGGCTGGAAAAAACACCAAACCTTAAGTATTCAAACTTTGTTGCATAGCATCGATTAAGAATTGATTTCATTATAATTCATGAGTTGGAATTAGAATTGGCCACACCCACAGGAAGTTGAACTTATTGAATTACAATTCTGTTGACTGGAATATGTTGATAATAATGACCTCACCCGACGCACTCTGTACAAGATCATTGTCCACTAAGCTCCAGTGTGACTGCTGGAGATGAAAAAGATGAGTTCTTGTTAACATTTTAAGAAGCAGTCTAAACCACATAAGCCTGAAGGAAGTCTTGCTGAGCATGTAAGACCAGAGCATTGACTTTACTTTGGCAATAGTAGCCTGACGATTAAGAATCTTTGCTGCTGATGTACAAAAATTGCAGCTTTTATCCAAGATTGTGTGGACTCAAGATTAGGTGGGTTGCTCAATGCAAAATATTGCTCACTATCGTTACTATGGTGCAATAATCTTAACCCAACATTCTGGGAAACAGTTTCTGCAGTCAATACTGTAGTAAGCTGCAGTCATTATAGTTTTGCATTTTTTTACATTAAATTTTACTATTATTCTGTTTTCAGTTGTTTACATTTGTTTTCATTAATAGGTTTGCATTAGTTTTTTATTGTTTCAGTTTATTTAAAAAAAAAAAAAATTTTTTTTTTATTTTAGGGCTCCCAAAGGTAATGCACTAAAGGGTATAATTTATTGATATCTAGTGGTGAGTGATTGCGTTGTGAGTTGTTAAGTTTACCACGTATAATTAAAATGAATGTGGCAATTTTTATTTTGTTTTATTATTTGTTTTATTTTATATTTTGTTGTTAATTTCAGTTATGTTAGTTTTTATTTTGTTTTATTATTTCATTTCTTACATATTTTACATATTTTTTATTTTATTATTATATTATTTTTTTGTTTAGTCTCAGTTATGTTGGTTTTTAGTTTTTTTATTTCATTTAACAATGTTTTCATTTAGGTTTTTATTAACGATAACACTGCTGAATAACAATAGATCTAAAAAGTCAAGTCTTTCATAGTCTTTCGTAAAAAGGTGCGGCAGAAATACTGGTGTCTTTGATGCAATGCAAAGTTCACTCGAATGTACCTTCACATGATCTTAGTCTCAGATCTTTTCCATTTCACATCCACTACTGGCCTATTCTGAAAAAAAAAATTAGATTCAAAGATCAAAGAAAGATGGAATTAAACACAAAAAGACAGAGAATGCTGTGGAGGAGAAAAGTTTACAAAATACTGAGTGCCGCTGAAGCGATGTGAGAGAGTGTTAAGGTGATTTTGCAAAATGTGTTAAGGTTTAACATTTGGAGCAGTGGAGAAGAAAAAGACTCCCAGCGGCAGTATTATCATGCGTCTGATCTGCACACGGTTCTCAGCTGACCTGATCTTTACATTCAAATCCCAGCACGCTCCCAGACGCGGCTAAAACTAGATGTTGTTGTTGTTGCTGAGGAGAGTTTATCCATGAAATTGTTGCACCTGTGAATTTGCATGCTGGCTTGGATTGTTTGTTGTTAACTTCTTCTGAAATCTCTGCTTCCCTCAGATGTGGTTGTAAAAACTGCTGTATGGGACGTCGTGGCAAAGGAGTCAGATAACAGAGATAGCTGACCTAGATGATGACCTTTCTGCGCTGTGTTGTTCCGTCAGTGGTTGATCTGCATCTAATGGACTGACGTCTTTGTGTGACCAGCGAGGACCATAATGGGTTTGGTGGTGGCCATGCTAGATGGACATGCTAGAAGCACACAGAAAGTTGACGTTGCCAAGCGTTCTTGCTCGGTGTTGGCGGAGCGGATGCGCTCTAGTTAGCGGTTGAGCCTCAGCTCTGCGAGGCTGTTTTGGGGCTGCTGTAGTGCAAACTCTACAGCTGGGGTATAATTTCCCACCAGCTTTATTAGTCTTGGAAGACAGACTTTGCAAGGATTTTTTTTCTCAGGAATTGAGACAGACATGTAGGGTCTCTTGCGGAACAGAGATTTGATGATTCACATTACATCATTGACCACTCAGACCTCAAAAGCCTGAGGTTTCGCCTTTCAGCGGAGGCTGTTTTGAATCTCTTTTAGGTTTTGAACAATTCCCAGGATTCCGGTCACATTTTTTTATATATATTGTATCACAAAAATAAGTTATAACACAGAAATAAGTATTTTTTTCCCTCAAATAAATAATGCTTTTATATAAACTGCTACTCCAAAGTTTGGAATAATTACAATTTTTAAATGTTTGATAGAAGTCTTATATGCTCACCAAGGCTACATTTATTTGATATAAAAAAGTAATATTTTAAAGTAATATTACAATTTAATATATTTAATATTACAGTTTTCTATCCTCCTGACTACCACGAAAAAACTGTTTTGTGAACTTAGTATTTTGTCATGTCATTACATTGTTTAGAGCATAAGAAAAATGTAGAAAAATAAATTTTTTGAAAAATGATATGTTATTCATATGTTATGCCATGTCCTCTGTAGAAGATATCAGGACTTTAAAAAGTCCTGTTTTTAAAAAAATTAAAAGACATGAATAGACATGAAAAGGCAAAAACAGTGGGATTTTTGTTTTAATCACAAATCAATTTTCATTTTTTATACCAAACTTTATATAAAGACGATTCTCAACTATGTTATGAAAGATATTTTTTAAAACCATTTTTCTTTATGCAAAATGTGTGTAAAATGGCCATAAACAAGTTTTTCCATTATATACAATGTGTCTATAAACTGTATCTAATTTGCATATTAATGTGTTTTTGGGGCAACATAGAATGAACAAATAAGTGCAATAATGGGAGTAATAATTTGCAAGATTTTCATAATATCTAATATTTAATAGGAATATTGATACATAATTCTTTCTCTATTCATTTGTTGTGTCTCACAAAATGTGTAATAAACACGCTTTAAGTCCTGGTGTCTTCTACAGTGGACATGTATGAAATCGACGTCCTGTTTCATAACAGAAGGTCATATTTTGATTTGAAACCCCATAACATTTTCCTGAGATGTTGATTTATGACAAACAATTTGAAAATTAGTCACATTTAAATGATAATTACAAAATATGTTCATATTTCCATAAGGGTGTTACACTTGATCACTAAAACATAATGTCCTCTACAGAGGACAAAACTCCATAGCTGGTAGTCAGGAGGCTATTTGAAATGTAATTTATTCTTGTGATTTAAAGCAGAATTTTCAGTAGCCATTACTCCAGTCAAATCATTTAATTTTAAATGTATATTTGTTATTTTTATTTATCATATATATATATATATATATATATATATATACATATATGTGTGTGTGTGTGTGTGTGTGTTTAAATAAAAGTACATTTACATATGTATTGTATTAGCTTAGTATAAATATATACTTATTTTATATATACATCTACAGTTATATACATATATAGTTTTCGAATGATTCCCTGGATGCCGTTCACATCTTTTATACACATTATATCTCCTGATTTCTTCAACCTTGCCATCGAGTTCAGCTGTAGTTTAAAGAACCGCAGAGTTGCCTGATACTGGAAAAGTAAAGCGGGACATAGCGATCTCAATGCCGTCTTGCCATGTCTTGCTGTCTCCTCGTGGTGATTTCTTGTGTTCTTGTGCCATCTCAGACTTACATGGGTACTCTGAGGCTAGCCAGACTCGAGCTGGCCAATGACATCATGGATTCCTGGGGCCCAGAAGCTTCATAAATAAATGCCTTTCTCTGGCTCTGAGTTGATGGGGGAATAAACTGTGCTACGGATCCTGTGCTAAACTTCTGTATATGGTGCTTCTCGGCCACTGGGCAGATTCACAGTAATGCTGGAGCTGTACGCTCTTGTCTAAATATTTACCTAGGTTGTTTAGTGAGCAGATTTCTTGAAGCCTTTTCAGTCATTTGTGCTTGTCAGTGTATTAACCGCTTTCTTTCTTATGATTCGTTCATCGCAGGTCCCCAGCAATGACCTCCCACTGAAACATATAGAGACAACAGTGAGTATCTCCAACCATCTTTTACAACTTTATTGACAAGTGCATGCATATTTTCTTAACATCGGTTTTGGTGGTGGCAAATTTTAAATAAATGCATATGTAATATTATTAAAATATATATTTTACATTATATAAAAAAAAAATAAAAGTAAATTTTGTTATATTATTTTTAATTTTAAAATAAATGTTTATTTTTTATTTTTTATTGAATTATTATTTCTATTTCTATTTCATAATTGTTGAAATAAAATTTTATTTTAAAATGATATATTATTTATTTTATTCTATAATAAAATAGTAATACAAAAAACAAAAATATTAACATTATATTAGTTTTAATTTAAAAACATATTTGTATTATGTAATTTTTTTATTTTATAATTTTTAATATAAATTACACACACATCGAAAAATGTCATTTTAACATTTATTATAATAGTTTTAATTAAAAAAAATATATACATTTTATTTTTATTTGTTTTATTTTTTAATATTTTTTGTAAAAAATATTTTATATTTCTGTATTTATTTTATATATATTATTATTGGTATTTATATAGTATTTATAGATATTTATAGATAGGATTTTGAGAACTGTATTTGCTTCAAGGAAGGCTTCACCCACAAACTTTTCCTTTTCAGTTACAATCTTAAAGGGGTCATATGATGCGATTTCAATTTTTCCTTTCTCTTTGGAGTGTTACAAGCTCTTGGTGCATAAAGAAGATCTGTAAAGTTGCAAAGACTAAAGTCTCAAATCCAAAGAGATATTCTTTATAAAAGTTAAGTCAACCACGCCATGTCTTCATCACGAAGTGGGAAGATTTGCATAACGCCGCCCAAATGTTCACGCAAAGAAAGAAGGCGTAACTTTTATTCTCGCTGTAGTATTGTTGCTGCCGCCATGTCGTGAAGGCGCTGTGTGTTTCGTTGTGAAAGCGAAACTACTTTGTTTGGCCTTCC